ACGTATATAAGAATATAAAATGTAGCAACATGGATGGTCATATACAAAACACATGCAAATAATAGTATAAGAAAATATTATTAAATCAATTAGATTATAGAATATATAATAATATCTAAATGATATATTTACATATTTAAGATAAGGAAAGAATCCCACAAAATCTGAACAAACAAATTCCATTCAAAAAAATTGAATGGGAGAAATAATTCAAACAAATTGCATGGGCGGGAAAAAAAATAAAAATATTTAAGGAAACAAAACACAAGCGGGAATTTGAAGCGAGAAAATGAAACAATTATTTTTGAGTTTTTCAAACATTTTACTTAGCTCTTTTATATAGTAATAAATGTTGGCTTCTTTTATGTAATTTATCATAGGCATTTTAAACTTTTTATTAGAAGTTTATATAAATTATATATTATAAAAAATCTCATCGTACACTAAAAATTGTCATTAATGACAACTTTCGGTCCAATAAATAAATAAATAAACAAATAATAAACAAAATGTTATAAGATATGATTATTTTTTGAAACTTTATTAGGCTATAAATAAGTCATAGCAAATCTCACTTTCCTCTTAATTAAATGACGACGAGCCAAAAAATTGACATTTTTTCCACCCCAAAAATTAAAATTTCTCAACTCAAATAAAGATTCCCAACCGATTTTTAAATAAATCTTCTTCAATTGTGTGACTGATTACGAAAAATTCATGTTGCTCAATATTTATTTATGCAATCAATTTAGATAGTAAGACGATATATTTTAGTATATATTTTTTTTAAAAGTGTTATTTAGTTCATCAATAAAAAAATAAAATTAAATTTATGTATAAAATTATATCGCCTTTGCCACAAGAAATCTCAAGCCAGTCTCCCTCGATCCCGTAGAACTTATCGTGTCCCTCTCGACATTGGCCGGCGCCCGAAAAACGCTATTGTCCAACACGCTTTCATCACCCATCCATTTTCAGACCCCGTCAATTCTTCTTCCTCTTAGCTCGATAAAATTATAGGAAATGTTATAGTTTCGTTACGGTACTATCTCGTCAGATGTTTTAACTATTTGATACTCATGTCTTTAGTATAAGATATATAATGCAACGGTTAAAATGTTCGACTAGATAGTACTGTAACGAAACTGTAACATGTTTTGATATCTCCTCAAAAAACACAGTGAAAAAAGGGTAAAATAATAAATATATAAATCAAAAACCTTAACAAACAAAATTCAAACATCCACCCATGACTTTATTTCCTTCCCCGTCCGCTGCAGCTTCTAGATGAGCCGCCGCCTCCTGAGCCGACTCTCCATAGACAAAGCCCTCCTCCACCTCCCCTCGCTCGCCAAATTCTCTCTCTTCCTCCTCTCCCTCCTCCGCCGCCTCCTCTCCAAGTCCCTCCGTTTCATGGACTCTCTCCTCTTTTCCAACGACGACGACGACGACGTAGTTCTCTCCACCTTCGACCACTCATTCCTCCCCCCTTCCTTCTCCGACCCCGGCGAGTCCCTCTTCCTCGTCCCCTTCAGGTTTTTTTTTGCCGCCCTTCTTGTGAATGAACCTTGATAGTTCCTTTTTTCTTTTTTTCTGAAATTGATGTTTAATTGCTGTGAATGGTGGTGCAGGTGGTGGAAGGATGCCATCTGCGGCGGTGGCGGTCCCGACGGCGCGGATGGATTAGGCGGCGTTTTGTACAATGCGATGGTGCAATTGACCGGTGGTGGGGTGGGGGATGGCTGGGCGGGAGATTTTATTGCGGGTTTTAGGGATTCTGAGATTTTGGTGGGTATGAGGAGGGAAGGGGAGGCTGAGGCTAGTGGGGAAGAAGGGGTTTCTGGCGAAAGTGGGGATTTGGCGTTGGTGTCTGAGTGGATGTTCTTCACTGCTCTTAAATGGTGAGAGTGATTGATTTAATGGGGGCTAATTAGCCTAATTTTGATTGCGGTTTACCTTTTTATGTCACGTGCGTGAAGATGTTTGTTTGTTTCGAAGTTGTAGTTTTGTTTCCGTTGGTGTTGAGTTGACACTAGTGTTAAGCTAGTAATTATACAGTTACGGTTACGGTTACTTTGATACAATTTTAAGTGGTGGTGTATTCGATTTTCATGTTGTTTGTGGATATTGGAATTCAAATTGCTGTAATTCCTTCTTTTGTTCATGTAATATATGTTGCAGTCTGAATCTGGACTCGCAACTTAGATATACTTGACAATTGTTTGACGCTTTTTCCTTTTCTATTGTAGGCATTTTGATAGGGGGAATGTGGAAAGTTCATATCCTGGAGGCGATAGTGCACACGATTTATTCTCTTTGAAGATTAGACTTTTATTTATGAGTGACGAAAGACATTTGGTCATTAAGATTAGCGAAAAGGTTTTTTGCGAATCAGCCTTCTTTTTCTTTGTGTTCAACAGTTCTATGATGTGGTTCTTGTACTTGTATCTGTGGATTTCTGTTAGGCAAACTAGTTCCCAGTTGCATCGACCTTTGTTTTCAAATCAATTTAACACTTCCAAACTTAGTTGTCACTTGATATCCTTGAGAGCTATATAATTCTATATTTCCTAACTAAAACTGTTGAATAAATTGAGTTCCTCAAAGGGTAAAGTAGTACTCGGTTTCATTTATTTAAATATAAAATATTTAATAGATATCTATAGAGAAAGACTGATTTAGTTAAGGGAGGTGCTTAATAATTCAAAAGCGACAAAGTTTCTTCGCTTTCTCATGGTTATAATGGGTCATCACTTCATTTATTGAAGAAATTAACATTTTCTGTTCCTGTCATCTATTACTCATTTCTTATCAGAAGCATTTTGGTGGAACTGTGGAAGTTTACTTTCGATAACTGCCCTTGCAATATCTGCAGATGAGTGGTTAAAACCTTGTGATTTAACAACTAGGGCTTGAAATTCTCTCCTCTTCAACGAGCTTTTCTACATGCTTTATGCGCTTGCTTTTCCATATATACGTTCCAGAATCTAGAAGTGTTCATCGTCGTATTTTTTCCCACCCGTTGATTTAACATAAGGCCTGAACTTACGAATGGTAACCTGATGCTTGGCTGAATAACCTTTGCGGTACTTCTCTGTCTCTTTGCTCTAACCTCTATCTTTTGCGAATTCAAGGACAATGAAGTTGGAGTTTTTAACAAAGCACGCAGCATATTTTGTTCGAAATCTAGCTCGGTGAGCAATGATGTCTGTTATCAATATGGTACTTGATTTGATTCTTATTGAATGTTGACCGCTCACTTGACAATGTACAGTTGTATATCTGGGACTTCTCAGGTCAGACAAACCAGTTATTTGGTATTGACACCATGGATTCAGATCAACCAAATGAGGAGGTAATCATACTTTCTTTCTTTGTCAGTTACGCCATGGTAGTTATTTTTTGTGGTGCTCCTGGGGACATGAGAATACAGAGCTTATCAAATTTTCTTATCTTGCTTTAAAAGATGTGTTGATTCGTTAATTTGACGAGCAAGATATAACCAGTTTCATTTAGAACAACAATGTATATTGCTTAATATTTGTAAATCCAAGTTATGAACTCTGTCAAAGTGCTGTTGATTATTTTTGGTTCATTTCATTTTCTTTTCCTGTCGTCGTTTTTCTTTATTTGAGAATGAACACTTTCATACTTTCAGAGTTTCATTGTCACTACTAAATCTAGAATTTGGATGCTTTCCATATGTGTGAGTGTATGTGGTTGTTCTATAATCTTGGTTTGTGAATGATACTCATTCCGAATGTTTATTTACAGGTTTTGCTGATATTTTTTTGCAGGTTAGGTTAGATTTAAAAGTCTATGGCTTGCCCTCTACCACCAATGACGACGAGAGGCGAAATGGGTATATGCTAATGGAGGAGTCTATGATTGGAAGTCCTTCGACCAGTTCGCCACATAGGATGAATGGCTGTGTGGATAAAGTGAATATGTTTTCCAGGCTTACGCCAGAAGTTGGTAGTGGCCCTTATTGCACTGGTTCTTTGGGTTTGACTGGATTGTATAATCTTGGAAATACTTGTTTTATGAACAGTGCTATCCAGTGCTTGGTGCATACTCCAAAGCTTGTTGATTATTTTCTAGCAAACTACCGGAGAGATCTGAATTGTGAAAATCCACTGGGCATGAATGTAAGTCTTTTATTTCTTTATTCTTTTGTGTTGGGGGGTTGTGGGATGGAACAACACCAGTTTGTCTGTTTTGTGTTGTTCGCTTTCACATGCATGTTATTTGTAGTTTTCCTGGTGGCTTCAGCCCTCAGGACTGTTTATGATCGCTGATTTTAAGTGCTGGATGTTGTGATAGGGAAAGCTTGCTATAGCATTCGGAGACTTACTAAGAAAGTTGTGGTCCCCTGGGGCCACACCTGTAGCTCCTAGGATGTTCAAATCTACTATTGCTAGTTTTGCTCCCCAATTTAGTGGGTACAACCAGCATGATTCCCAAGTAAGTGCCATAACTTTCAAGCCAAATGTTAACGTCGCAGATGGAATTTTTCATTGCTCACAAGGTTTTTTGGTAGGAATTTCTTTCTTTTTTATTGGATGGACTCCATGAAGATCTCAACCATGTGAAAACAAAACCTTACGTACAAGCGAAAGACGAAGATGGTCGTCCTGATGATGAAGTAGCAGATGAATACTGGAATAACCATTTATCTCGCAATGATTCAATCATTGTCGACCTATGTCAAGTATTCTTCTCTCTCATCTCCATACGGTTACAAGGATAACAATAATGTTTCAATTTGGCCTGCAAAATTTGTAGACTATGATAGTCTGTTTGCCAATTTTGTTTCCCATAGAATGTTTATTAGCTTTGGAGCATTAGAGTATTTTGTTCCATTCATTTTAATTTGAAATAGGGTTGGTTTGAATTCACAATTGTTCTATTTTAAATGTAGGGACAATATAGATCAACGCTGGTTTGTCCCGTCTGCAAAAAGTTGTCCATTACATTTGATCCATTTATGTACCTGTCGTTGCCTCTTCCTTGTTCAAAATTGCGAACGATGACTCTGACAGTCTTAAGCTCTGACGGGACTACAATGCCACATCCAGTTACAATAAGAGTCCCAGATGATGGGACCCTCAAAGACCTCATTGAGGCCTTGGGAATAGCTTGTTCATTAAGGGAAGATGAAACACTATTAATTACTGAGGTATATTTTTAAATCCATTATCAGGACTTAGGGTTTTGATTATATTATTTTTCTGTTATGAAAACATCCATCATTGTCTATGAAAGTTGTGATCCACATATAATTATCTTAGAGTATTTAGGAGAGCATTGGCCGGAAAACTTCGGGTTTCCTCATTGATCCGATTAGTAGTGTTTTTTTATGTTTGGTGATTGTCTCTTACATGTTAATATGTTATGTTAATAGTTCATATCGTTCTAAGATCTTTTTTGAAGATCAAATTATTAGTTAGATTTAATTCTACCAAATAGCGTGTGGCACAGATTGTAATCGTTGAAAACAGTGTATTGGTGCGTGTGAATGTGGTTTTTCATCATCGGATCTTCGAATGATTTTATTATGAAATCGTTCTCATGTGCCACATTAGTATGTGTTGAGTTATTCTGGATACATCACATTGAAAATCAATCTATGTTTATGTAGAAAGCTGAGAACACTATCATTGAATTTATGATGTATATATGAAACTATCTAGATACAATTATTAAGATACTATTAGTTCTAGAATTTTCTTATGATTTCTCTAAGTGAGAACACTTATCATATGATGCTAACTTCTGTAGTGTCATGAGATTTCTAAGAAAGGTTATCCTTTGCGCCTCATGGTCTTCATTTTCTGCAGTTAACTTTCCAATTTGTTGATGTACTGGTCATGATATGAGCGATCGCACGTGTCTTAATAACATGCCTTGACATGCTCATCCTTTTCTCCTTTGGCTTTTAGAACACAACCAATTGATCTCTCAGTACTATATATCACAATTGTTTCCGTTTTGATGTTCAATCATTTTGATAAGCATAGAACAAATGTCAGAAATTTAATTCTTTTAATAAACCGTTTTCGTTCTTTGAATATTGCATCTGTTCTTGACTTGTGAGGACCTGTGCAGATATTCGGTCACTCAATCCTCCGGATCCTGAACGACCCTGGTGATTCAATTGAGTTGATCAGAGACTATGACAAACTTGTTGCCTATAGATTGCCCAAAGATATGGATGAATCTTCTTTGGTTGTGTTTTTGCATCAAGAGGGCAGAATGTAAGTTCAACTAGTTTGATCCTTGTATAAAAATTACCCTACAAATGGCAAGTGTGGTGCATTCACATACTTTGTTGCTATATGTTCTCCTGGATTCTGTACACTTAACTTCATATGCTTGAAATAAGCAAATGGAAAAAGGTACTTTTTTTCTAGTGGCCAAATAGGAGCTACGGCATATACAAGATAATGCTAGACCTACCTAATAGCTACTAATGTGGTCAGGTCAGACTGATATTATTTCCCAAATCGCAGGAAGTTTGGCATCCCTCTCGTGGCAAGGATACCAAATCCTTTTGAAGAGTCCGATTTACGTAAACAATTTCTTAACCTCATTAATCCATTCTTACTGTCTGGTGAAGAGCTCTTGAATGATGATGCCTCACAAAAGATTACCCATGAAGATGAATTGATAGATGATGGATTTTTCGAAGAGGCTTCAATTTCTAACAACGAAAGTGATTCAGATGTTGTATGTGACTTTGAGTTTTCTTTAGAGAGAAGCTCTTATGTTCATTTTAGCCCCATCAAGTTACAGATGGATATTCCTATGACCATGTCAAGTTCTGGTCGGCCAATCCAAGTGCTTGTTTCTTGGCCAGAGAAAATGGTTCGGAATTATGACACTGCGATTCTGAGTTTATTGCCCGAAGTTTGCAGAGGACTCGGTTCCAAGTACACTCAAGATTCTATTTCACTGTATAGTTGTGTTGATGCGTTCTTGAAGGAGGAGCCTCTTGGACCAGAAGACATGTGGTACGTATTCATATTTATCATTCTGAGCGTATAGCTTGTATTATTTTGTTGTTTATTTTTTTTAATCACCAAATCACATCATGATTTTTGCTCATCCGACCGGCATTCTGTTTGTAGGTATTGCCCTAATTGCAAGGAGCATAGGCAGGCAAGCAAAAAGTTGGATCTCTGGAGGTTACCAGAGATTCTCGTCATTCATTTAAAAAGATTTTCGTACACAAGATTCTTGAAAAACAAGCTGGAAGCCTTTGTGGACTTCCCCATTGATGAGTTAGATCTCTCTAATTATGTTATTCGAAAGAATAACACAGTTGGCCATCGTTACACGTTGTTTGCCATGAGTAACCACTATGGTGGCATGGGTGGTGGTCATTATACTGCATTTGCTAAAGTAAGTGTTAAAAGTCTGACTTAAGTTTTGAAACTTACTTCCTTTTTTTTTTATGCTGGAAATTGATGAGTGTTATGAATCTTCATAATAAAGATAATGCGCACTTTTGGTTATTGATAAATGAGTGTGAAGATCTCGAGGAGTTTGGGTCAATTTTCATGAATTGAAGATTTGCATTTAAATGCTAATTTTCTATTTGTCGTCAAGTTAATGTTTTTCGGTTCTGCAGCATAAGCTTGATAGATGGTATGAGTTTGACGATGGCCGTGTAAACCCTGTTACTGAGGAGCAGATAAAGACACAAGCTGCTTATGTCCTCTTCTACAAGAGAATATAGATTTTTCACAGTTGCGAAAATCGGTGAAAGTAGAGATATCGCATTGAATACATTGTGTTCAATTTATCTTCTTCGAGAGTCCCTTTTAATGGATCAGTGCTGTCGAAAACCAGCTATTGAAGCTATAGGAAATATTTTTTTTTAGATTGATTGATGTACATATGATTTTTTTTTTATTTATTTTATTTTATTTTATTTTATTTTTTTTGTTTGACAGAAGGTTTGTATGGTACACTGAACTCTTGGAATGCCAATACTTTCATAGTACTTTGTCGAACATATGCACTTTCATTTCAGAAGAAACATAATTTTTTTTATTTTTTATTTTTTATTTTTTTTTTTAAACCATAGCTTTTTATTCCGAAGAGATTTATTGACCTTGTTCAATGTTCCTTGGTTCTTTTATCACTCCAGTTTATGGTCTTGCATTTAAATTCAAAATTCTGAAATTATTATGTTTTTGCATTTGAATTCAAAATTCTGAAATAATTATGTCTTCAGTTGATCTATGACCTTTTCATTATACCCATGGAAGTGCTTCAGTTTTGGTGTGCGGATTAAATTCTGTGGGCACGACCATCTCAAGAAGCCACGGTAAGTTATTCTATCAATTTTTCTAACTTATTTCATATAACTACTTCAAACATCATTGATAAATAATTTTATTTTTTTTATATGATATTAACAAATATTTTTTATTATTGTTATAAAGATAAATATAATTTATTAACAAATAATTTTATTATTGTTATAAAATAAATAAAATTTATTTATTCTAGTCAAATCCAAACTCATCAAGCGATAATTTATTTGATATATTATATATGTAAAATTGATAAAAAAAAATACTAAAATTATTAACTTTTAAAATACATATATAATGCAATGGTTATAATAAAAAATGATATTAAAATGCAATTAATACATGTAACATCCATAAATAATCAATATATTTATGGACAATTCGAACTTAATTATTTTTGGACGGGAAGTAAATTAAAATCTATCTAAGTCAAACAATGAAATTTGAAATTTTGCCACATAGGATCACGAAGCATGCGAGACTGTCACTTCACTTAAGCTCAGCCCATTTCGTAAATGTATATAAGAGGGATATCTATCTACTATATAATTAGGCAACCCACTTGCCATTTTTAAAAAGTTTTATACGCTCTTATTATTTTTGGAAAGTCCTCACATTCTTTGACACATGTTCATGTTTATATTAATAAAAGATTTTTTTAAAATAATAATGCAATAACACGTCTGACATATATATGGAAGTTAAAAATACACATATAAAAACCATGAAAATCAGAAGTTAAAGTTGGATGTTAAAAATACACACCTTTGTAAGTTATATTTTGAGTGGACACTGGACACGTCAAACATATATATGGAAGTTAAAAATACACATGTAAAATCATGAAAGCCAGCTTGGAAGTTAAAGCGGGAAGTTAAAAATACACATGTTTGCAAATTACATTGTTAGTGGCTTAAATCGTTACTTAAATCGTTACTTGAACGGCAATATTTTTTATTTAATAAAATATATATGTTGTAGTGTTACAAAAATAAGTGTCAAAGTCGGTGTGATGGGATGTTACGAGAGGACTACTTACCTTTGTGAATTGATATTCCAGAGGTGATTCTTTTCTAAGACACTTTTATTTATAAATTTAATTATTATGCATATGCTATTTAATTTTGTTTCCTAATATCTGTGTTTTAGCATTTTACAGGGATATAAAATCCATGCCTCAATCGAAAAATTTATGTTGATTTGTTCAAACGTTTCATTACAGAAAGTTGAGTCATTGTATCCACACTTTATTGCAGCACCAGGGGCATATATAAAACTACTATGACAAATATTCAACAATGTTCCGGAAACCTCCACCAAAGGGCGTCAACCCTCTCAAGCCCCATTAGCAACAAAGCCATCCGCTTCCAAGGGGATTGACATTACTCCGGAATCCTCCTCTAATGGCCAACCAACTTCCATAAAGATCAAAGAGGGGAAAATGGACCTTGAAGTGGCTTCTAACCGGGAGAGGACTAATCTAGAGAAAGTCGAAGGAAAAATGTCTCTATGTGAAAGAGAATGCGAGATTGAAGAGGTCATCGAGCTCGAACCTACAAATCAACTAAATGTGGAGGAGCCACTATTCCAATTGGTGGCAAAGAAGAACAAAAACTCGAAGCAAGGCGGAGGACCAATCCAAGTGGGACCGTTATCATATTTGAAGATGAAAGGCATCATCCATATGAAAAGAGAGCCGGCAAAAAATATCCAATTGAAGAAGGGGGCCCATCCCCCCTCCTCCAAGCAATGATTATCGCCACTTGGAACATTAGGGGCTTCAATACGCCCCTAAAGCAAGATGAGGTGGTTAACCTCATTCGAAAGAATAATATTGATATTTTGGGACTTATTGAGACGAAGACGGATCTCCATCGTCTATCTCGTTTTGTGCACAACCGTCTCCGGGGATGGTTGTTTTATGAAAATTTTGGAGTCGCTAGGCACGGCCGCATTGCCATTCTTTGGAATCCGGACAAAGTGGAGGTATCGATTCAATCCACCTTCACCCAATCCATCTCGGCCACGCTCATTAACAAGGTTAGCAACTACAAGTTCTTTGTTAGCTTTGTCTATGGGCTCCATAGTAGAGGCGACCGCAAGCAACTATGGCGGGACCTTGCTAGCTCCAAGACGCAAGTGAACTTACCATGGCTACTCATGGGAGACTTTAATACGATTCTCCGGCCGGGGGAAAGAATAAATGGGGTGCCCGTCTCCAACCGGGACATCATGGATTTCGGCGCATTTTGTGACACTCACAACATTGTGGATGCCCCTTCCACCGGCTTCTTCCACACATGGACGAATAACACCATTTGGTCCAAACTTGATCGAGCCATGGTGGACAACATTTGGCTCCAAGAAGATCTTTATTGCCAAGCTTCCTTCCTTGCTCCGGGCATCTCCGACCACTCTCCTTGTGTTGTCTTTTTATTTGAGCACACTAGAAGGAAGGGATCACCTTGGCGATTCTTTGATATGTGGGCCGAGCATAAAGAATTCAAACCGAGGGTCCGACAAGCTTGGAACCTACGTATCCGGGGAACGAATCAATTCAAACTTTCCGGCCGCCTAAAAGCCTTGAAATCCGAGCTCTCCGAGCTCAATGCCGAGTATTTTTCTCAAATCTCCCTCCGGGCCAACAACGCGAAACTAGCACTCAAGTTAGCACAAGAAAAGCTCCACGACAACCCCGATGACATGGTGGTAAAGGCTTCCTTACCCGTTCTCCGCCTCAATTCCATTAATCTAGCCAAAGCGGAGAAGCACTTCTTTCAACAAAAAGCGAAGTGCCGATTCCAAATCAAAGGAGACAAATGCACCGGGTTCTTCCACGCCCTTGTCAAAAGAAATGCCAAGAAGAATTTCATTGCCTCTATATCGAAAGAAAATGGGAATTCGACCACTTCTCTCGATGAGGTGTCCAAGGAGTTTGTCTCCCACTTCGAAAGACTCCTTGGTATCGAGACTCCGACCGATGATATTGATCCCGAGATCATCCGGCATGGCCCACTTCTCTCTCATGAACACCATCACGCCCTCCTTGCTCCGGTTTCCGAAAACGAAATCAAAGCCGCACTTGATGGCATCGAAAGCGGCAAAGCCCCCGGCCCGGATGGGTACTCTTCAACATTTTTTCGGAAAAGTTGGGACATAGTTGGGGAAGATCTCACCTTGGCCGTGCAAGAATTCTTTAGAAATGGGCGCCTACTCAAGCAATGGAACCATACTACCTTAGTTATGGTCCGCAAGGGCTCCCACGCATCCCAAGTATCGGATTTCCGACCGATAGCGTGTTGCAACACTACTTACAAAATTTGCTCAAAAATTATTGCTCAACGCATTAGCTCCGTTCTCGACTCAATCATTGATGGAGCTCAAGCCGCATTTGTGAGGGGTAGGAACATGTCCGATAATATTCACCTCATGCAAGAATTACTCCGGCAATACATGCGAAAGAGGATCTCCCCGAGGTGCACTATCAAGATAGACCTTCGTAAGGCTTTCGATTCTATCTCTTGGGCTTTCTTGAGGCAAGTTCTTCTTGGACTTGATTTTCCGACAACCTTTATTAATTGGATCATGGAGTGTGTCACCACGACTTCCTACTCAATCTCTATAAATGGTTCGCTTTGTGGCCACTTCAAAGGTGCCAAAGGGTTGAGACAAGGAGATCCGCTCTCGCCTTATCTCTTTGTTATATGCTTGGAGTATCTCTCGAGACTCATGAACCGGAGCACGGCTAGCGGGTCGGGTTTCAACTATCACCCGAAATGTAAGTTTCTTAAAATCTCTCACCTAGCCTTTGCGGATGATTTAATGCTCCTTTCGAGGGGTGACCCATATTCTATTAAAATCTTAATGGATTGCTTGAGGGACTTCGGAGCCAAATCGGGCTTAGAAATGAATGTCCTAAAGTCCAACATCTACATGGCGGGAGTTGGCCAAATGGAGCATTCGGAGATTCTTCGGGACACTAATCTCCGGCCGGGGTCTATGCCGTTCCGGTACCTCGGTATCCCACTCACGGCGGGAAGAGTCACAGTTGGGCAATTTGATCCTCTCATAAATCAAATTACGGAATACATCAATGGATGGAATGCTCCCTCTCTCTCATATGCGGGAAGAGTGGAGCTCATTAGATCGGTCCTCCAAGGGGTGGAATGCTTTTGGTTGTCTATCTTCCCTCTTCCGTCGACCGTCCGTTCGTTTATCATCCAACGATGCCGTCGCTTCCTTTGGGGCTCAAAGATGGCGCCGGTGGCTTGGCACACCGTCACCCTCCCACGTTCGGAGGGAGGCCTAGGCCTTCGGGACCTCAAAGCGTGGAACCAAACATTGCTAGCACGAACACTATGGAATATTCAAGCCAAGAAAGACACCTTGTGGTACCGTTGGGTTCATCATGTTTACCTAAAGCAAAAATCCGTGTGGCAATGGACCATCCACAAGAACGATTCCCCTCTCTTCAAGAACCTCTATGACATTCGGAACCTAATAGTTGAAAAGTTGGGTAGCATACAAGGCGCCGAGGCCACTCTTTGCCTTTGGGACTCCAAGCCTCGCTCCAAGGGGCCTTCATGCGTCTACGAGTTCTTCCGACCCCAAGGCACGCCCGTCCCTTGGAAGGGTGTGGTTTGGGGGCCCGCCAATACCCCCAAACACGCTTTCATTCTTTGGCTTGCTACGCTCGGGAGGCTCCGAACTAAAGATAGAATTGGCTTCCTTGATATTGACCTTACTTGTGCCTTTTGTGGGGAAGCTTCCGAGACAAACGATCATCTCTTTTTCACTTGCCCCCTTTCGGCCCAAGTGTGGCTTGCCATTCGGCATTGGCTAGGATTGAGGCGACAACTCCCCACTCTAAAGAGTGCATTGAAGTGGATTAAGAAGGAATCTCAAGGCTCCGGTTGGAGAACAAAAGCAACAAAGGCCGGGCTCGCGTCTACGGTATACTTCCTTTGGATTGCTCGTAATAGAAAGATTTTTGAAAATGAAGTGCAAACTCCGGAGCTCATTATTCGGAAGATTCAAACCCATGTCTATAGGAATATATTTGCTTTGTACCCAAATGTACTTGCCGACATGGAGATAAAAGCACTCGGAAATGACTTGGCCTAGGCTCCTTAAATGGAGTTTGGTTTGCCTCTTTTTATTTTATGTTGACTAGCAAGTAAGGGACCGGATTGTGGTCGCCCACTTTGCTTTAGTTTGCCGTGAGACGGTCGATGTAAAAATGATTTTGATCT